ATCTTTTGGAAATATTAATTTTAAATTCTGGGATATGTATTCCAATTCCCACTCATTCCTGTTTGTTCCTGGATCCATCTGTATAAATTTTGAGATAATTATAATAACTGTTTCTTAGATAAATGCTTGTTTTAACTCCCACTTCCTCCAATCTCCATTCCTTTTTCTTTTCCATGATACTAAAATCTGTCTTTGCCTCTGGAAAAAACCATGGTGTAATGTTACTAACTGGGATGAGCATAGTGAAATCTAAGGCTTCCATTCCATATTCCCTCATTCTCTTTTCTCCGTTCCATCCAAACCCATGCCCCTGAACTTTGGAATACTCCCAACAGTCCTGTATTATCGCCTTTGTAGGGTTTTCTTTCCCACTTTCTTTCAATCGTATCCAATATGCTAGTACAAGTTTTTCTCTTCTTAGCTTCAGGGGTAACTCACCTGTTTCTATGAGTATTGCGTTAATGGGAGTTGTCTTAATAGCTCCAATGCAAACACGTAATACTCTATACTGTAATCTATAAATTTTTTCAATGTTTTTGCTGCTGCACCATAAACTATACAACCATAATCTATTGCTGACCTCATGCAGGCTCTATATATATCAATTAGTGAGTGTTTATCTGCACCCCAGTCACATCCAGCCACAGCTCTTATTAGATGAATAACTTTTTTGCATTTAGTTTTTAAGTGCTTTATGTGTGTTTTCCATGTATATTTACTATCAAACCATAAACCCAGGTAATTCAATTCATTTACTTTCTCCATTGGCTGCTGATATAATGTTAGCTTTTCAACATGACACTTGCGCTTTTTTGTGAACATCATGTAACAGGATTTGCTTGTTGGTATCTTAAACCCCCACTCATATGACCATTTTTCTACTTTCCCTATTGCCTTCCTTATATTCTCTGTCCAGAAAGTGGTTTACGGAAGCCGCTGTGTCTTCATGCAGTTTGCTGTGCTGCTGTCGCCCCCTTTTGTTCAGTAGCCCCTCACTGCAGAACACAAGATCCAGGGGGCGTGGTTGGATCCAGATCTAGGGGGTGGAGATGGGTGGGTTTAGTGATCAGGGGCCGGAGACGGATAGGGTTAGGTATATGTAAGGTGGGAGGAGTTGGATTTGGATCCAACCACGCCCCCTGGATCTTGTGTTCTGCAGTGAGGACCATCTCCTTTTGTTACTCATTTGAAACTGATGTCATTCTAAGTATAACAGAGTGATGCATCCTGAGACTAAACAAAAACTTTTGGCATTTATTTTGTAAATAATCTTTATAGTGTTTGGTGCATAACAAACGTATTATTATATTATATTATATTATATTTTTTTATTTTGAATCAAGTAACAGAAAATATCAGAATTTTCTACTAGCACATTGTGTCAGGTAAAGTACAAACCCATTGGGATGTATTAGTGAACCAATTCTGTAATCACTGGGAAGCAGCAAATAGTACAAATATTATTTATTTACATTCATGCTAGATCATGATTCAAGTAATAACAGGACTGAAAAAGCGTTTGAGCATGAAATCATTTTGAAGAGGTGCACCTGGTTTAACCTCTCAAATAGGATTTCTTTTTCTCCGCAGGTTGATATGATATATCGTTTTCACTTGCTCACAGGAATTTAAAAAGATAAATTACACTTTGTGAAATCCAATTTCAAACTAATCTACTACTTGATGTGTATAAGTAATTTACTTTGTACTACAATGATTAAGATACCTTATTTATTTATTTACATGTGTATTTAACTGTATATAGAATCAATAATTTGTTTCTGATTCTCTGTTTTATGGAATGGTAAGTTAGCAATACCGGTTTTATTTTTAAAAACATGATCAGCGGTTAACAGTTTGAAATTCTGGTAAAATTTCACTTTATACTTTGTTTAAAAAATTATTTATTTTCAACAATTTTGTGTGAGTTTAAATGTAAGCTGAGGATTTTTCTCTGAAGAATTATCAGAGATAAAAAGAGGTGAAATCTAGTAAAAATCTCTAATGTACCTCAGTGACATGCACTTAGAAATTGCTTTCAAAATAACCTGCGGTGTCAAGTCATTAAAAAGTTAGCAGTAAAATTTACGTTACATTGTCCTAACGTGGGAGTGCCATGAGAAAAAAACGTTTTTTTGTTCTTTGTGGGACCTTCAGCTCCTCTGATAATATCTATGAGATCATGTTGCAGTGACAGAGAGAAAGAGAGAGAGAAAGATGACTATTCCTCTTTTAAGTGCACTTTGACATTTGATAAAACCAAGGTAATGACAGCTATTCAGTTCAGCTCCTCTTTACAGACAGATTGCAGTGACAGATACAAACACTTGACCTTTATGAATGGTTTTTCAATATATTCTTCATGTGTTGTCATGAGTATTTCATACAAGATATTTGCTTTTATTGTTATATACTGAATAGATACTGAAGAAATTGGTGAAGAGAAATTTTTAGTAAATTTACCTGCCTTACATGCTGTACCAGGTTCATCTTTCAACATTTGAGTAAATTAAACAAATCTTTGAAAATTTGATAATCACATTCCTAATCCACCATTACCATAAACAGGAAGATAATCTTTTGTGAATGTACCTTTGATTGAATCGTAACATAACAAAATTCTTGATCTAATAATAAAATAATCAAATTTGAATAGCTCAATGTTTAATTAACATTAATTCTGTCTTTGTGTCAAACTGTGTAATCAAAAGTGTGTCTCTCCCTCGTTTATTCTTTTGCTCCACCCTTGCTATCAGTTTGTCACACAGTGGGAAAAGAGCACTGTAAGTTTGCCAGAGGCATTCTCATTTTAGCTGCTGTCTTTCATCCTTTATAAATGTAACCATTGTTTTAACTAAAGATGGGTGTTTGACTCGAGAGATCTTTGTTTGATTTCCTCTTCATGTGCAAGACTGAATTCAGAGTATACAATTTGAATACAGAGTTTGTTGAAGATATTTTCAACCACTTTAAATGTTAAGCCCTGTGTGTTTTAGTAACAACGTACTGTAAAACTCTCATGGTAGAGCCTCCAGTCTAAAGTGTTTGTTTGTGTGAATGTCACTCATCTTTGCACCCGTTGACAGGAAACATCATTTAATTTTTTCCCTAAAGGCATTCTAGGTGACTGTGATCAACACCTTCTCGCAATGTTTCTCAACTCGCTTTTTGGTGACTTCAGTGTGGAACATATGTGATATGGGAAAGGTAAGGAAGGGCTCTATATATGCGGTACCTGCGGCTTTTCTATAGGGATGAGCCTGAACATGTGATATGCTGCCAGGACTGATGGCACAACTGCCCTCACCATCACACACCCTGAGGGCCCCATTGATGAGTGAGAACTACATTAGGAATCAAACATGTCTTCACATCTCTGTTCATAAAGAAATATAAATGGTATACCACACCATGACAGGCTGTAATTTCAACAGAGTTTATTAAGTTGGATATTATGTCTAATATGATGGAGCTCGGTTTGATGTCATATAGACATTTCCTTGTAATGGCCGTCAGCAGGCTCCTGCTCCAGGATTACCTGACTCAGAATGGTGCAGATCTTCTGAATGGCCTACAGGTTACCAGAAATCTTGGAGTTATTGTCAAAGAGGTCAATAAAAAAGCAAACAAATTAAAAACAAAACAAAGAGTAATAGTAGATAATAAATAAAAGACATTATGGCAAATTTGGATGCTCTTGTGCTTTGCTGCTTTTTCCAGCTCCAGTGACCTTGATTGGTTTGGACCAAGTGGAGGGGACAGAAGGCAAATCCTTTAATGCAATGAGATGAATTGGAGGTTGAGTGGATGAGTGTAGTGTAAGGATGAGATTTGACAAGCTGTGCACAGGTGGACTATAGGCACTGTTAACCCCTGGATGTTAACCCTTATGATCCTAACTTATCTGTACTGATCCACCAGTAAAATCGGAGCAATAAGCGCATAGATTCACAACATGGGTTTTCTAATACCGTTGCTGAGCAGAATTCACTGATACCAAAGTGAGTAAAATTTACTGGGGTAAATATATCACTGTCGTAATTAGAGTGGATAGCTGGACACATACATTTGTTGCTGCCGTAAAGCAGCTAGCCATTCGCCTTATTAGAATCAGAGACGATATTACCATCAGAATTATGTTGAAACTAAAATTTCAAGGTAAAACATATTACATGCAGTAGCTTTAGCTGTTCTCACCAAGGAAGAGTATAACGATAACTATAACTATACCGTTCTAATTCTATGAAAATAGTGAACTCCACAGCATAGCTATGACGATAACGACACAGACACAGAGAAAATATATAATTAGAATCACTTTCAGAATGGCTTTTTCCCAGCTGATAAACGATAAAAACATTGACGGCCAATCAGAATTAACCCAAATTTAATGTTATCAGCCACTGCTGTCAAAGCTAACCTTTTCGTTATAATTCTTGGTGTGAACATTAGTCAAATTACATTGACTGCAGCACTTTAAGAGATTTGACCTCATCTGCACGTCTTAGGCAAAACTTCAGCTCAGGTATGCTCATAATACATACAACGTTTTATGGCTAATGCGAATACCCAACTTCACAAATCCAGGTGCTGAAAATATTTTCTTTTTAGAATGAAATTTTTGAACTCATTAGTCATCTTGCTGTCACCCTCAACACAACTGCAGAATATTTTAGTCATGAAACACAATATTTATGTACGTTTGATATTTCTGATCATCTGTTTGTCTGAGAAACAGATCTAGCAGCAGATAACCAGCAGTCGAAAATGTAATCTTCCAGATTTACTGTCATACAGTCATTAAAGACGGACATTTTCTTGCTTCCTAAATACTTATCGATTTTCAGGACACTACTGGAAGAAATGGTATTCTTTTTGTGTGTTGACTGTGCATGAGTTGAGATGCCAAACCAGGGAGCAGGAAAAGACTAGCAGAAATGTCTCTGTCAAGTGTGCTTTATCTTGCCATGTCCTGGTGCCAAACTATTCACCATGATCAGTTACACAGCACAGGGCTTAAGGCATGTTATTTCAAGGATTTCTTTGGAGAGCACACAGAAACAAGACTAACCAAAGAGGGATAACTTGAAATATAATATAGCAATGTAATGTATTGTTTTGAATAAGTACTGCTGAAACATGCCATGGATTTAGAGCAACATATTAAAGGAATTCGGCATTTCTGCATGATATGTGAAGTAACAAGACAGCACAAATTTCTTTTGGTCATCTATATAACTATTAAATTCAATTCACATTTTTATTTGTATAGTGCTTTTCATGATACACATTGTTGCAAAGCAGCTTCATCTATCTATCTATCTATCTATATGTCTGCCTGTCTGTCTGTCTATCGTTCTGTTGTTCTTTTGTTCGATCTGGCTAACTGTCAGTCTTTATTTATTTATTAGGGACAATCCACAATACAATACAATACAATATAATAATATCACACATAAATGTATTTATATAAATATAAATGTATTTATTTTTCTTAAATAGGAACTATTTATTTTATAATATTATGTGATATTACTGTAATGTGCTAGATTCAGCCAAAAACATTTTACTGATACATAAAAATAAAAATAAATTTTCTATACTGGAGCAAGTTGGGTGTAGGATTTACTTTGAAATCACTTTCACTCAGAAATTGCTAAATTTCACAAATAATAATTAAAATAAACAGCAAGAAACATTGAATTAAGTTTGAAATTTTGAAGTAGAATGACTTGATTAGTATTTTTTTTATCTACAACAAAGCAAATATAAATTACAGTTTTTCTCAGTCGCTTTGGTGCATTTCTTCCACGTCTTCTACCTTTCGCCAGATTGAAACCTGCCTCATCAAGGTATATGAATGTGTGCAGCGGTTCCCTGCCCTCCAGCTCCAGTACATGCTTTATTACAGAAGAGGGAGTGAGAAAAACTATAACAACTTTTCCTGTGTAACATAATGCATTTTGGACAACATATTGTACAGTATGCACTGTGAATACACATACACAGAACTGTCATGTAAGTGTAGTGCATGACACTACACAAAGTAAACAGTTTACAGCACTGAACATTAGAATATGCATAGAACACATACATGTTTTACCTGTACATACTGGTGACGGAGCTCCTTCACTCTGTCGCTGTTCCGTTCAAATGGCACATTGTACAATTGTTTCATGCGCATTTCATTCCTCCTGAGCACTCTGTCAATTGTAGCGACTGAAACAGATTCAATATTCCCAAAGATGTTGTCATCCTCTATAACAGCACTTTGTATCTCTCTCAACCTTATGGCATTGTTTGCAATCACCATTGCACAAATGGCTTCCTCTTGTTGCGGAGTAAAAAGGGGCCCTCTTCCACCTCTGCAAGGTTGTCTTGCAATCCTGTGTGGTGCAGAGTAAAATTACAGTAAATATGGCAAATCTTTACTGTAACACTACTGTACACTACAATACACTAAATGTGTGATGCAGTAAAGCTGTACGTCTAAATGTAAAATGTACAGTGACAAGTTCTTGTCCCACTGCAAGCTTCATGTATGACACAATGACAGTAGTGCAGTGCAGATTGTTTAGTGCTGAATTACTGTCCATTTATACACACCTGTTCTCCCGACGAAATGTTTGAATAATTGAATTTACAGTGGTTCTCCCAACATTTGGCTGCACCCTTCGACCAGCCTCAGCCATTGTGAGGCCGTGATTGACAACATGATCCACAATTGTAGCCCTGATTTCATCAGGGATCCGCCTATGTACTTGGCCTCTTCTTCCTCTTCCCCTGTTTTGTCCCCTTCCTCTCCGCACCCTCACCCCTCTTCCACGAGGCTGATCTTCCATTTCCGTGTCACAGTATTGTAGAAATGGTACACACTATGTCCTGCTTGGTTCATATATGCTTGTAAAGTGGGGGTTTATGGGATTCAGCTCTGACAGTGATTGTAGAGAAGTGGCTTATCATTGGTTGCAACTAATGCTTCACACACCCCTTCTCATCAGTGAAAGTTGAGATTCACCTGAGAGAAATTGTTCAATTTAGGAGACATTTTCAGGAAAAAAAAGATTTAAAAAAATTTGTAAAATTTGCTTGACAGATTTTGACAACTAGTTCAACATTTTTGTATGTAATGACTCAAGCAATGAAATGAGGACTATTAGTTTTATATGGAATGACTATTCAGCATTCACAAGTATAGTTAATTTTGACTGACATGACATAAGCAAATGATAATGTTATAAAACAGCAGAGAGTTGTATGAAAGCAATTGATGCATGTCCAAAAGCATTTGCAATTTGTTCGAAGGAATGAGAAACTGCTACTATGATGTGCACAAATGACTAAATGTTGTGGAGGTTGAACTAACTGTTGTGCAAATGTAAATAGTGATGTGAGAAATGCACCAAAGCGACTGAGAAAAACTGTAATTAAATATATTATTAAATTAATTAAAGTAACACAATTAAAAAATTTAAAGCAAAGTTATGTGAGGAAAAACATTTCTACATTGTCATTCTGTCTCATTCACTCTAGTTGTAATTGCCTTACATGAATAAAACCCCGAGCAGCAGCGTAACATAAGCACTTTAGTGAGCGATTCCCTTTCACTATCACTATTTTTGCTTCTCTCCACCCCAACCATCTCCCATTCACATTAGAATATGATTTTAATACAGCAGCTCAGAAGGGCTGTGGTTCTGCCTCCCAGGTTCACTAGGAGGGTAGGGGAAGAATTCACCTGTATTGACATTCATTTTTCCCTCCCTCCCTCCCTCTTGCTCTCTCTATGGATATCTGTCTCACTTGTTTTTCTTGTCAGCAGTCAGTAACTATAAAAGCAGAGTGGCAACCCAGAGAGTGATTTTTGAGGAGATCTGCAGCTGGTTTGCAGGTATCTGTGTGGACTCTGGCTGTATTAGATTTACAACCTGGGCCTGGAAGCACCACACACAGCGGTAAGTGAACTTTTACAGAGTCATAATTTTCCTCTATTCAGTACATACTAGGATCAACATTGTGGTAAGGTTTCATTGACAGCAAAATAACATTCTAGAAGAATTAGATCTGAGCTAAGAAGTCCAAAAGCAAAGGCGTACACACATGTAAAAATCTGTGGGATTTACTTTTCACTTACACAGATACTATTGTACCACTGTATCCCGTTTGGCACCAATAAATAAGGCATCAAGAAATGTCCCGCAGGGTTCTTGTTAGGCTTGTCTCCACCTGGATGAAATCTCTGCTGAAGTTCATCTAGGAAACAGAAAAGAGGGATACAGGAGAGAGAGAAAGAGAGAGAGTGGGCAAGGCAAGGCAGGTGCAGTCAGATTCTATCAGTATGGTCGTCTCCCTCTGGGTTCTGAAGTTCGGCAGAGTGCCCATTCTCTCCAGGATATGATTATGGATGAGTCTGATATAACTTTTAAAATATGTTCTCATTACCTCTGAGAGAGGCTCCCAGCTGCCAGTGACCCAAGTGTTTGTAGCTGCGTGCACACGTGTGTGTGTGTGTGTATGGGAAAACCTGTTGCAGCAGGTCTATCCCCTGTGGGTGTGTGGCTCCCACAGGTTGGCTAGGGGCCAAATGGACTGAGCCTTTTTACAAATTCCCAGTTGGAAATCTCAGAGCTGAGATTTATTTTTTATTAGATGAATGCAATTAATTATTTAATGAGCATTGTTACAAATGGTCAAGAGATATGGCAGCTGTGATCTCAAACCGTTGTCATACATTGAGTATTAGCTGAGCATTTCTTATTACTGATGTCATCAAAATAATGATGATGGTTTCATATCTGTCTATTTTATTTGAAGTCTTGCAGTCGTTAAATCGTTGAATAAATATGAAACCTATATGTGCAAATACATAATAATGATAAATATTGATAGTATGATTAATGATAATGTTGTATTTATTGCCATAATTTTGTTCATATTTAACGCTTGTATTTCTATTTAATCTAAATATATTTAAAATAGTATTAATAATTCATGTTTTATTTATATTTATTAGGAAATGCTGTCAAACTATCAACCTACAAATATTGTAGATTTTAAATATATTAATTTGAAGTTTATGCTGGAAGGTTTATACTGAAATTTCTGTCAGGTGCAGGGTTTTGTTGTTTCCGTTTTCTCCCTGAGCTGTATGATGAGCGTTTTACTAATATCATCTCTTAATTGCATTTTATCAGTACACGCTAGCTTTAAACAGATTCCCAGAAACCATTATATGTGTTGCTAAATAAAAAAAACGCCATCAGCATTGTATGCGAAACAGAGTTTTTCATAATTTTGTAGGATTTCCATACACTGATGTTAATTGCACTAGTGTACATTATAAATGAAAATCCTGTCATTATTCACTCAACCTCATGTCATTCAAAACCTTTTCTTTCTGCTGTGGAATACAAAAGTAGATGTTAGTTAGAATGTTCACACTGCTCATTTCCATACAATCAAAGTGAATTGTGACCAGGGGATGTCGATCAAAGTACAAAGTACACAATCTTGCCCTCTAAAATCTAATTTATGCAATTAGAATATATTTTCAGCTTTTTCTTCATTCAAAGTGATTGAGTGGTTTCCAAAGACTCAGAATGAGCACCAAGCATATGGACTACATTTAAGGACCCTTTTTTCGTATCTTGACAGCCACTGGTCATCATTTACTTTCATCGTATGGAAAGCAGCAGCATCAACATTCCACTGAATTTCTCAGGGAACAAAAAAAAATAAATCATGTGACATGAGGGTGAGTAAATGATGACAGATTATATATTTTTGGATGAACTATCCCTTAAGTGAGGATTCTACAATTTGACTACATTTGGGGGAGTAGGAAGTAATACATCTAAGTTTTTTTTTACAACCTCAGTGTTTCCAGTGTAATGCAGTGAAAATGCTGTTGTAGACATACGGGAAGAAATCCTACCGATTCCTTGATGAATGACGGTGTAAAGGAAGAGGCACAGTCCATTTGAAATGCCACTCAAGTGTGGTGAGAGTGGTTTTAGTGCAGGGGTGGGGCTGTATGGACATGCAAGAGACCAGATCAAAGTGAGATAAATGTGATCATATTGAGAGAGGAAGGAGTCTTGAAATTAAGTACCTTTAGAATTATACCTGTTTCAGCACTTTTATTCGTACTCACTCCAGAGGATCTTCACACACACAAACACACACACACACACACACACACACACACACACACACACACACACACACACACACACACAC